TAAATAAAAAAATTAAATTATCAAATAAATAAAAAATCCAAGTCAAATGTTAAATCCCTTGCCATGTAAGCATGACATGGCAATATTTTGCCATCCAAGCAGCTAAGCGGGGTGCGTCCTCAACGGCAGTTAAGTCAGGCGAGCAATCCCAAACGGTAGTTAAGTTGGCGTAAGAAGAAGGGTTTAATTGCTTTGATCCCAGAGTTCAAGGGCTTAACTGCATCAATTAAAGTCTAAGGATTTAATTGCGATTCTGAGGTTAGTTTAGGAGCTTAACTTATGGTTTTGCCTTTTTTTTTAACGAGATAGGGTACATTTTCTTTGTATAAAATTTCACAGAAAATATTTTTCGTACCATGGGACCTCGTGCGGTCCCATCCCAAAAAAAATCAAAAAAATTTATAAATTAATTTTTTTTAAATTAATTTTTCTTTTTTAACCAAGATTACAAATATGGGAGGGAAGAATCGAATCCCACACAAGTTGAGGATGCACCTTACAAATCAACTTATGATTGTTCGGTCACGAGATCCGAGTGCAGTTTTAAATTAAATAAAATTTTTAAATTTAAATTCAATTTAATAAAAATTAAATTTAACTTAATTTTACCCAAGTCGAGCCATCCCAATCCAACCCATCATCAAGTATTTAATCCTAACTTTACTCATTTCTCATCACTCTCACCTTCCATCTTCCCTTCCTCTTTTGCCGTCAGCACTCTTGAAGATCTCATACCCTAAATCCCTCTATTGCTGCTGCCCTTCTGCTTTTCTCACCCTTCTGCCCTCACTTTCACCTTAAATCTCAAACCCTCACTTTCACTTTTCAAGATTCAAGAATCTCAGACGCTAAATCTCAAACCCTCCATTGCTGCCTACTAATTTGCTACTGGAGCTGTTGTCGGAGCCACACTGCTGCTAGATTGGACTGCTATATACTACTGCTGGGTGCTGCTAGTGCTACTGCTAGACACTGTTGTTGGGTGCTGCTGCTACTGCACGCTACTGCTGAGTGCTGCTGCTGCTGCAGGCCGCTGCTGGGTGCTGCTGCTGCACGCCGCTGCTGGGTGCTGCTGTTGCTGCACACTGCTGTTGGCTGCTGCCGAATCCATCTGAATCCATCTGGTTAGTTAATTTAATTATTTGCGTTGAATTGATTTTTATCTAGGAGATTTATATTTGAGTTTATATTTAAAATTTTTTAATTAATTTTATTTAAATTTTTAAAATTTTATTTATTGTAATTAAATATTAATTAATTATATATAAAAAATTTATAT